TCTTGAACGTGGGTCATCCACCATCAATCTTAATAGTCCTTGGGATTACCAGCATCCACCAGCATTATTAGTGTGTTTCTAAATGCCTTTCTATTGTTGGCCAAGTAAGACATACAGAATGCACCTTTTTCCATAAAGCAAAAATAAAAATAGAGTATATAAAAGTGGGCATTAAAGGTAAAATAATATCTCTTTTTTGACTTCTGTGTGAATAATTTGTTAGCATACATAATGGGATTTGTTAAGTTTGTTTTATTATCCTTATGGTTGTTAACTTGCACTTCTGACCACTGAGCTGAACTGCCTTAACACTTTCCACATTCTGGTTGGTTTATCAAGGATGCCAACACCAGAGCCTGAAGTTTTGTATCACACAATGAGGCTTGGTGGGGGTGTGGTAGATCTAAGCTGTTGCAGATGTAGTCCCAGAGTTCAGGGAATGGTGTCAGGCTTGTGTTGTGACAGTGAGGCTGCGGTATGGGCACCTGGGTGTGCTTCAGACTTCAGCTGCTGCTGAGGAACTTATCATCTCCTTAGCCAGGGGGAGAGGAGGGACAGTGGTGACAAGGATGGGGTATGCACAGTCCAGTATCAAAGGCTAGTCAGGGGCTGGGGTTGTAGCCTAGTGGGAGATCTCTTGCCTTCCATGGGTGAGGCCCTGGGTTTGATCCTCAGCACCACATAAAAATAAATAAAAATATTGTATCAATCTAAAACTAAAAAAAATAAAATAAAAAGTCAAGCTCTGTGGTCCCTGAATGTTTTCTTGGTTCTCCTTTCTTGTTTGGGAGGCTGCAATTTCTTCATGCTCATGGTTTTCCGTATTCCTTCTCCTGTCACACAGCTGCCATTGCACAGTGAGGTTATTGAAAATCTTTTGGAAATATTGCTTAGGTTAACTGCCTAATACATGTGTGTAGTACTGCAGTGAAGATGTTTGGAAATGAGTGATCTGTATGATTAAACAGTTTTACCAGAAGAGTATTTTTCCTGAGGGATAATATCTTACTTTCAGAGTATATGATATAAGCCACTATGTTGCATGCTTTTTTTTAAATCTAAATGTTTATTTCATAATATGTATTTGTCTCACCATGTTCTCCATCACTGCAATGCAGGTCACACAGTGTATATTTCACTAAATTTGCTGTTCTAGTGAAAATGTTTAGGGGTACATAAATGGAGGTATTTCTGCATGACTAGATTTTGTGACATGGAGATGGTCACTAGGTGTGACTAGAGCTCTGCATGATGAAGCAGGGCCTGCTCAGTGCTGCATAGGGGCATGAGGGCTGAGATTATACAGAATGGTGAGCTGAGGTCTCTCTGAGATGACTGAACATCAGCTCTGTGAGCTTTACCAGCATCTGGAGAGGTCATGGGTATAGAATGGAAGATGGAGAGAAGGGCATTGAGATTCCAGCGGGGTTCCTGCCAAGAGGCCATCTGTGGCCATTCCCTGGCAGCTCTGCTGCCAGTCTCCTGAGGCTGGCATTCCTACTCAGCCAGAGGACCTTTCATGGAAGGATGGCGTAACTACTCCTTTCATGGTGCACATGACACCCGATGTTCTCCCATTTGTTTGTTCCCATCTAGAAATATCTGGTAGTTTTCTTCCATAGAGTATTCATGTTTGCATATGTTTCCTATCTACCGCTTAAACTTAGAGGTACAATCCCTGGTAGAAATGCTGTTATTCTTCTGCAGTCTGACTAGGAAACTTACTGTGTATAATGAAAATATAAAATGTAGTTCAGACTGACATCCTGTCCTCCCTGTTATGGAACATGCACTGTATCATATTTCTGAATGCCTCTTTCTTCTGTGCCAATGAAGAAAGGAACATGATTGTTGAAAGGAAATTATTATTAAGTTGCAATTATAGAAAAGAGACTAAATGGGGCTGGGGTTCTGGCTCAGTTCTTGCACATGCAAGGTCCTCGATTTGATCATCAGCACCACATAAAAATAAAGTTATTGTGTCCAACTACAACTACAAAAAATAAATATTTAAAAAGACTAAATCTTACTTCCTGAGATTTTGAACAAAACTGCATGGAATTCACCTTAATTTACATAAATGTGAAAATTGAAATACAGCAAGAATATGAAACATAAGAAAATTCAAGGAATAAGGATAAAAATATTTTTTTATTCTTAAAGTGCTTGTGAGATAGATATACTGAAAAGGTTAACGTTCATGAGTTTCCACTTCAGAATGAACATCCAGGATGGAATTTCTCTTGTATGTGAAGTGGAAACTCATGTATTTGCCCCTGACTTTTTTGCTGGTTTGCACTTGTGACCAGTCCCAACTCAGGGCTGAACCCCACCCAGTTGGGCTGGTTTGTCAGGAATGGCGAAGCCAAACACTGAAGTGTTTGCAGAGTTCACAGCATAAGGAGGCCTTCCAGGGACGCAAGGTGGACTTGCTACACTTGTCCAGAAGTGGCTGCCTCCTCTGATGGGGGTCCTGGGTGGTGCTGGAGTGAGGGAACCTGGTCATCTTTAGAACTCCCAGCTGCTGCCCGAAGAAGGGAACACTTAGGGTTATCAGCAACTTGCCCAGATGGCACCATAGAAAGGGAGTAGTGAGACTTGAAGGTGTCAACAGTAAACATCAAAGTGGGTCAGACTCCAGCACAACCCTGAGTGTTTACTCCTGGTTCTATGGGCTCTTGGTTGGCATAGAGGAACTTACAATTTTTGTGATGTCAAATTTGCATTTCCTGATGCACCTGTAGGTCCCATTCTACAGTATGATTGTTGAAAATGTTTTTGAAATACTGTTTAGACAAGTTACCTAACGTTTGTATGGTAGTTCCATGAAACTATTGTTGTAAATGTTTGGTAGATAATAGATACGGTTAAACAATTTTTCCAGGTCATTCATTGTGTTTTCTGCTGTGACAAAACACTTGAGAACAAGGAAGAAAGATTTGTTTTGACTCACGGTTTCAGACTCATGTGTTCCATCCCATGATTGGCTGGCCACTTGCTTTGTGTCAGTGGCAAGGCCCATGATGTGCTCCTCATGTTGGAAGGGCATGGGAGAGCAATGCTGTCTACCTCATGGCAGGTGGATAGCAGACAGAAGCAGAGGAAAGGGCTGGGGACAAGACACACTCTCCTGGGGCATGACCCCAGTGACTCACCTCTTGTTTCCCACCATCTCCCAAGGGTGCTACTGGCTGGGGAAAACCTTGACCTTGTAAGCCTTTGGAGGACATTCCAGATCCAAACTGTAACATAAAAGTGTTGGTTTCAGGTGTGGTTTTAAGCATTACACTACATGGCTCATTTTCAACTGCAGAGAAAAGTGATCTCATATGTGAATTTTTCTTGCCTTTATTGCTCCCAAACTTTGTAATGAGGATTACATATTTAGTATAGATTTGTTCTGTTATTCTCGTGACAACTGTGACAGATTCAGAATGGAATCATGTCTGGCTGTGAAGGCAAGTCACTCATCCCTAGAGCTAAGCACAGTTACCTCTGTGCTTCAATTATTCAACATCTGCATTTTATTTCCCAGTGATTTTTTTTGTTTTCTGCTCAACTACTCAGGCCTCAACCTGGGGCTTCATGCACGTGGGCAAGTGTTCTACAACTGAACCACACTCAGGTCCTGAAGTGTTTTTCTTGTATAATTTCTTAACATGAGGGATTAGAGTCTGTGTTCACTAACTTGGACCAAGTCCTCAACAGGTCCTCGCTTATGAATCATAATGATCTTTGAGAGGTTTGAGGCCTTTGAATTATTACTTGGATTTTCTCCATGTCCATGTGCCATCTCTCTGTTCTGAGTGTGAATTCACCCATATCTTGCCCCCCACATTTGCCTACAAGAATGGCATGGCACACATACCCTCATAGGACAGTCATATTTGCTGTGCTGGCCAGTGACACCTGAGCTGTGTCTTAGCTGAGTTAGGCCATGTTCAGTTCCTGAAGAAGGTCAGATAGGTCCCAGTTGGCTATGGCCCACCCAAACATGTAAACCCGCCTTCTGCCTCAGGGTGAAGGAAATATTGGTGAGACGCCCACTTCACACAGGGAACCTAGGACAAAAACAGCTATGGCACTCTAGAACACGGCCAGGACTCTGTCCCACAGCTTCTCAACACAGTACTTCCCATCTACTAGTCACTTTTTAATGGCTCATTTACGTGGCATTACAGTTGCAGTAAATTTGTATTGTCCATACTTCTACTTCAGATAAAAATTAACTCTGACCTGATATTAATTGCAAATGTACTCATTACCATATTAAGCTGTAAGAAAGACTATCAGGTCTTTCATGGGAAGTATCTGGTCTCTGAAGAGCCAGTTTGTGATTCATTGCCCTCAATGAAGTGCTAACTCATGATTCAGTAATAGTCACAATGGCAAAGCACACTTGTTGAACATATCTTGAGAACCTGTGTCCCAATGTTAATTTCCAGAAACAATTACAGGTTTCTAACTCATGCCACCAAAGACACACTGGAGTTGCTCTTTTCTACAATCTCTGCAGACTGGAGTCTGCATGGCAAAGGTAGAAAATGTTAACACGTGACCCCTGATGGACTGGTGATGTTGGAAATACGTTCATGAGCTTGTACTCTCTCTACATGTCGGCTAAAAAGTGTTACTTTTTCTTCCCCACACTTTCATCTTTAATATATTTGTATTTTCACTTTATATAAATCAAGATGCATGTCGTCTCACTTGGCATGTAAGGAAGGGCCATATAATATAGTGAATATTTATCCACAGATGCAGATTTTAGGGTGAAATATGAACCAATTATATGGAATTTTCATTGTACATAAGTATCCTGAGATAGGGTGTGAGGAGAATAACTCAATGGCAAATATAATATAGGCTCCCCAAACTGTATGATACTTGACTTCACACACCAAGTCTAGATCCCTCAACCTTAACTTTGGCTAGTTGCTGTTATGAAGCACTGACTGCACTGAGATGAATTAAAACTGTCGATCAAAGAAACAAAGTACTTGTGGTAATGAAAAGATTAAATTTTATTAATTAAAACATCAGATCAATCATACATTCTACTAAAGCAGTGGCAAAACGTATGACCAGCAGTTAAATAATCCTGAAGGAAATGCTATTTTTTCTTTTTTGTCAAGCTTAGAACCCAGGGCCTTAAACATGCTAGGCGAGTACTCTAGCGAGCCATGCCCCGAGCCCCCATTCTGGTTCTTTTAATTAGATTCTCCAGTCTAATAACTCTCAATTTCAAAAATAGGGTAATTACTCTTCGGTCTTTGCTAAGAGAGCTATTGTGATTCAATGGAGCACGTGGTTCCCATTCTTTTGCATTCTATCACAGTCTGTCCCTGTTCACCTGTGACTCTCATCCCAAATGAGCCCCAGGATGGCACATCCTTGGTCTGTTTTATTTTACAGTCGGTGGAATGATTTTTCCTATAAACTACAGAAGGGCCTCAGGACACGGGAAGCTTGACGACTTGTATCCACTTAAAGACACGACTCTTTGCCTCTTCCAGATGCTAATTTAGACAATATTTACCTTGAAAGGCAGAGCTTGTCTTCCCAGAAGTTGAACAGAATGACCCTTACCTAATGCAGTAAGCCCTCCCATCCTATGCTTCTTTCCCAGTGACCATAATAAAGGCCTGGAAGGCAGGCACAAGGTGAGACAGGCTTTAAAGCCCAGGGTAAAAGTTACATATAGCAAAGAAGCCTTCTCATGAGACGTCGCATGGCTGAATAAAGTAATTCTTGACCTGAAGATAAGTAGTTGATTTCCAAAAGTCCTTGCACCTTTGAGTCTTAACGTATTTTGACTTGGAATTACTCCACAAAATGTAGTGACCAGGGTTATCCATAGAGAACTAGAGAATTTCTTCAAGTGAATCCTCATCTGCAGGCATGGTCATCAGGTTACACTCATTTGTAAGGCTTGAGTCCAGAGTGAGTTCTTCGATGACTTGCAAGGTTGGAGCTTCGGCTAAAAACCTTACCACACTCATTACATGTGTACGGCTTCTCTCCAGTATGGACTGCCTGGTGGGTAGTCAAGCTTGAGCGCACACTAAAGGCCTTGCCACATTTATCACACTTGTAAGGCTTCTCTCCAGTGTGAGTCCTCCGGTGACTTGCCAGGTGTGAGTTCTGGGTGAAGACCTTGCCACACTCATTGCACTTGTACGGCTTCTCCCCGGTGTGGATCGCCTGGTGAGTAGTCAGGCTTGAGTACACGCTGAAGGCCTTGCCACACTCTGTACACTTGTA